AACTTCACTCAGAATGCCCTAGTGAATTGCTTTGCCCTTCTACTCCTTAAGGTAATAATTCTAGACCAGGTCAATCATGAGAAAAATCTATTCCAATCTGTGTTTTCTACTAGCAAAACACTAAAAATTTGAATCTATTTTAGCATCAGTCCTGGAGTAGTTGTTGTTCTTCTCCTTTGTTTGTTTGTTTGTTTGTTTAAACAAACTGTATACCCAGTGTGGGGCTCAAACTCACAACCCAGAGATCGAGTCACATGCTCTGCCTAGCCAGCTAGGCACCCCAGCCCTATAGAGTCTTGAATTGGATCTGAATCCAGTATTTATGATCCCAGTGCCAGACAGAAAAACATTTCTTCAGTTGACTTGGATGCCTACATTGGCTCAGGATTTTATTGTCCATTGGGAAGAAAGCCACTTACTTAGCTAGGATTAACAATCTCCTAATTTGACCAAGTTGAAATATTCTTTACCAGGGGTACACACAAGTTATACTTACTTCTGGGAGTAAGGAAACGTTCAAAATAACTTTTATTTTACAATTGTAGCATAATCAAGACATAGAGATGTGTTTGTGTACATATGTAGGGAAAAATGAGTAGTTCATATCTTTGTTTTCATGATCAACTTTTTTTAATTTGCCTTTTTAATACTTTATGAGTTCTGTTTGTAGATATCTGGGCCAGACACCAGAACCACTTGTGTTTAATTACTATTGCTGTTCTCTGCACAGTTCAGGGGTTCTAGTACTTTCTCTTAAGCATTCCTCTCCTTCCCACCCACCAAAAGAAAAAAAAGAACTGTGCTGAATTAGTTGGTTTTCACAGGTACTAAGTTTATAAGGTTTAACAAAGCACAAGAAATAATATATGTTAATGCATTAAAATGCATGTATAATAATACATTTATATATTCTAAAATATTTGAGATTCTATATGGATAATCTAGATAACTAAGAATTAAAAACTAATTTTTTCTTGAATTACCAAGACATTTTCTGATTTTCTCAAACTGATTCCATAGTTTTATAATACATAATGACTAAACTGTCAATTTTTGTAGTATTGATAGACAAACTCGGAATTATTTAATGGCCCCAAACTCAGATGAGACCTCAACTACCAGCTACTCTTCAAATAGCCATTGTAGAATAGTCACAGGATATATATTTTGTCATCTCAGTGCCATCAATTAGCTTGCTATTGACACAAATTTTTGTTTACTCATCTTTCAAGAAACTTTACTCCAAGGTAATATTGTCAAGTAAGGAAGTTGACCAATAAGGAAAGTAATTTGTATGTAAAAGAGCATAAAATTATTAATTTGCTTTAAGGAATTGTTATTCAGTAGTGATTTCCTATGCAAAAGTAAACTTTTAAACTATGTAGAAGTCAGAAACTGAAGGCTAAAAACTTCTTTAACATATTAGCAAGTAAAGCCAACTATGCTTTAAGTGATTAGTATCCGATAATACATTGCTGTTCTCCATTTATTTTAGGTGTGGAAATTAAAACAACACAAATATTTTGACTGGGGATTTGGTCAAACAAATGCTAAAAAGGTATTATTTATATTATATTTACATTTATAATATTTATAAAATACCTAAGGGGTGCCTGGGTGGCACAGTTGGTTGAGTGTCTGACTTTTGCTTAGGTTGTGATCTCAGGGTCCTTGAGATTGAGCCCTGTGTCAGGCTGTGCATTCAGTGAGGAGTCTACTTGGGATTCTCTTTCTCCTCCTCCCTCTACCCCTCGCACTTGCATGCTCTCTCACTCTCTCTCTCTCAAATAAATCTTAAAAAAAGAAAAACACAACTAAACATTGTTATTGGAGAATCCTAACCATTTTCCTTTCTTTAACCAGGGATTTCTTAAGCCAGTCAGAGTAATGGGAAGCAATTCTATCCTCAATATCATAAAAGAAAACAGTCCCTCTTCTACATTTTTCTGTAGCCTTGGAGATATTAAGGAAATTCTCCTCATTTTTCCGAGACATAGGCCAAAAATAATTTTAAATCTACCTAGCAGTCAGGAACTAGGTCTACAACATGCTTGAGTTCTGCAGTTGGAAATAAACCCTAGAGTACCTTTAACCAGAAAAATCCTTCTGTTAAAAATCTTCCTTTCAAGTGAGAGTATTGCTTCAGGAATAAAGCTCCTGAAGAAATAAGCAAGGGAAAGAAAGATACTACCTTTTCTAGACAAATCATGCAACTGGCAGTCAGACACACTGACATGACAGTCTGATCACCCTTGCATTTGCTACCTTTATCTAGATAAAACTTTGTCATTGTATTTCTTTGGAACAAACATTTTCTCTCTACTTTGTTTAGAGATGCTTATTTAGTTGCTTACTTTTTCCTGAAAGGAATGATGATGCTTTGATATTTGTTAAATTTTTAGAAGAATTCTACCTGTAATTTATGTTTTGTTTGCTTGATTGTATATAAATTCGTTTATTATAAATCTTGAACCTATATTAGATACTGTACTCTGAGATGTAGTTAAACTTGTCTTTACATTTTCAACCATTACTAGTTAAAATAAAATACTTTGTGTAAAATGGGAAAACAAAGCTGGTAAATTAAATCTGGAAGCCCAAAAGATACACTTTGAAATACTTCTCCTATTTCTAAGATCTTCTTGCGTGAATTGTTTACCCTGTCATCAATAGGAAGAGTTTACATTTCGTGTTGTGGACACTGGTTAATGGGAGAGTTGTCAGAAAGTCTAGCAAAAGTGAGGATGTACAAAAAGCTAGGCCAAAGCTGCTTGGAAGGAAACAGCCCAGATCTGTGAGATAGCCTCCGCATGTACAAAGCGGTAAACAAGTATCTTGTTGCTGTTGAATACTTTGTAATAGCAGCAGGTGATTTTATAGCTGTTAAAATCAGGATTTTCAGTTTTCCACTGGGCAAAAGCACTGGAAGACCTTGTCAGTCAACAGTCAAGGAACCAGCTACGAGCATAAGAGGCAGAAAATAGCATGAAAAGACAAACCCTTAATTCCTATAAAGGTCTAATCAGCCTTATATAATACATAACTTGCTCAATCTATTATCTCCAAATTTATCAGATAGAGATACTAGATAACAAATACCAGACACAGTAAGATTATTGGATACAGAAAGCAGAGTATCTTTTCACTTGTTTTCTTTCTTGTCCCTTTTAGCCAAAAGGGAAGTTCTTAGTTCTTACAGTCTGTTATTTTGTTTTGCATTTTGTTTGTATTCTGTTGCATTATTTTGCTTCATTTAAACACTGAGAAGGGGCACCTGGGTGGCTAAGTCAGTTGGGTATCTGACTCTTGATTTTGGCCTGGGTCGTGATCTTGGCCTTGTGGGATTGCACCCTGCTTCTGGCTCTGAGCTCGGTGCAATTCTGCTTAGGATTCTGTCTCTTCCTTTCCCTCTACCCCTCCCTTGGCTCATGAGCTCCTGTCCCCACAAAATAAGTGAATAAATTTAAAAAAAAAAAAAAAAAACTTCAAATACTGAGAGAACAAAAATGTAGAACAGAAAAGGCATAAAGTTGAAAATTTTTGTTGTCAGTAATGCCAGTAATAATATCACTAGTCAAAAACAATAATTTGTGAATTTTTTTGAATCTAAAACGCAGTAAGAATTTAAGTAAGCTGATTTGAAGATAAATTCTTTATTTGGGAAGCTGTTTTATGACTGATTCAACCATAATTTGAATTTAGCTTGGTAAAGCATTAAGGTTAAAGTAAGCTCTATTCCATATCATATTTATTTATGTTCATTATAATCAAATGGTTATCAATTGTGATATTACGTGCTTGAACTTTTTTCAGTTTCAACAACAAAAATTGGCATTCAGGCACAGTAGTGATCTCTCATCTATGGGAGATAGGTTTCTGTGTATTGAACCATTACCGAGATAACTTCATGTTAAAAGTGTATTTGAGGGGCACTGGGTGGCTCAGTCAGTTAAGCATCTGCCTTCAGCTCAGGTCATGATCTCAGGGTCCTGGAATCAAGCCCCACATCAGGCTCCCTGCTTTGTGGAGAGTCTGCTTCTCCCTCTCCCACCGCCCCTCCCCTGCTCGTGCTCTCTCTGTCTCTGCTCTCTCTCAAATAAATAAATAAATAAAATCTTTTTTTAAAAAAAGTGTATTTGAGATATGTGCACATGTCTGGGAGCTTGCAATTTAGAAGTGATATGTATTGTAAGGGAACTTTTTAAAAAGATTTTATTTATCCATTTGACAGCGAGAGGGCACAAGCAAGGGGAGCTGCAGGCAGAGGCAGAGGGAGAAGGAGATGCAGGCTCCCCGCTGAGCAGGGAGCCTGATGTGGGGCTTGATCCCCGGACCCTGGGATCATGACCTGAGCCACTCAAGTGCCCTATAAGTGAATTTTTACATTTTAACCCATGTATATGTGCATGTATTTGTGGGTAGCACACACTTGCATGGGCAGCCATAACCCAAGAAGTTGAATGACCTACAATAAGGCAAACTTGAACTCTCTAGTCAGGAAAATCTCCAGAGAGATGGGAGGAAACATCTCCCTTTTTTTTAGTTCTTGATAATACATTTAATACATTTATGTTCTTGATATTACATTTTAAAATATTTTAAATATGTAATCTTATTCATTTAGGTATTAAAATGAACAAAAAAAGATTTTTTTTAAAAAGCTTTTCTTCTTAAATTTAATTTATTTATCTGGCAGAGAGAGAGAGAATGAGCACAAGGAGGGAGAGCTGCAGGCAGAGGGAGAAGCAGTCTCCCTGCTGATTAAGGAGCCGGATGAGGGACGCAATCCCAAGACCTTGGGACCAGGGCCCAAGCCAAAGGCAGATGCTTAACTGACTGAGCCACCCAGGTGTGCCTAAAACGAACAAAAGAAGATTTTTATTCTTAGGCAAATCTGTTACCTAAAACCTCCAAAACATAATTAGATTACAGTTCAAAATCTGGCTTTCTGGGACCATAATGTATGTGTAGACAAATATTTCCTCAAATTTAAGAAAAACTAATTTTACTAACTAAATATCCAGTAATTGACGTTGCTCCAAAAACCAGTTATTCATAAGCATTCTCTCAGGTTTATTTTTTTTCTCTTAGGTTTATTTTTATTTGTGTGTTTATTTAAATAGGCCTTATACATGAGTTTCCACTGCTATATAGCAGTTTCATTATATTATAAACTTTGTTATACATTTAGAAAATAATATATAATATTTGAATACTTAAAATTTTCTGTTTGTTTTCTTAAACTTAGAAGTGAGAGTAAAAATTATCTCTGTCAGTCTTTCGCTTGCTTTACAAATAGTTCCTGCCTATTTAGAAAAATCTGTCTTAATCCTGTCTATAAAGTCCTAAGGCTATAAACAACTTTTCTTGTTAATTGTAGTAACAACCTCATAAGATTGTTGGGAGGTTTAAATTAAATCTGTATGAAGAATTTAGACAGTTGGGGCACCTGGGTGGTTCATTGGTGAGGCATCCAACTCTTAGTTTTGGCTGGGGTTGTAATTTCATGGGTGGTCGAATCAAGCCCCATGTTGGACTCCACACTGAGAGGGGAATCTACCTGAGGATTCTCTCCTTCTGCCCCTCCCTCTTCAAATAAATAAGTAAATCTCACTTTTTTAAAAAAAGATTTATTTATTTATTTATTTAAGGGAGGGCAGAGGAGGGGCAGAGGGAGAGGGACAGAATCTCAAGCAGACTGTCTACTGAGAGCCCCTTGTGGGGCTCTGTGACCCTGAGATCATGACCTGAGCCAAAATCAAGAATCAGTTGTTTAACCAACTGAGGCATCCAGGCACCCCAATAAATTATCTTTAAAAAAGAGAGAGAGGAATGGCTGGGTGGCTCAGTTGGTTAAGTGACTGCCTTCGGCTCAGGTGATGATCCTGGAGTCCCTGGATGGAGTCCCACATCGGGCTCTCTGTTCAGCGCAGAGTCTGCTTCTCCTGACCCTCCCCTTCTCATGTTCTCTCTCTCTCTCTCTTTCTCTCTCTTTCAAATACATAATCTTTAAAAAAATAAAAAATAAGAGAATTTAGAAAGTGCCAGGCACATAGCAAGCAGTTTTTTAAAAAGATTAGTGTTCTGTTTTTTTAATGTATTTAAGGAAATATAGCCCCCATGGCATCGTCAAACCAGTTAATACACAATTAGTACACAGATTTGGCTCTTAATAGTTCCTACAGCCTTACTTGGTAGATTTCCAAGAACTTCCTTAGTTTTAGCCAGAATTCTTAGAGGGAACCAAAATGACCCTCCTTCAGTCATTTTAGGACGTTTTAAATCCACATAAACACAATAGGAATGTCACTATTAGCATACTGCCTCTAAATCCCCACCTGGTGATCGATCCCAAATAAAAATAGTGTTTATTTTACTTGCATCTTTATTCCATTTGACTGATAACATTGCTTGAATTTTTTTCTGACTTTACCTGCAAAATTAGGAGATGAAGAGAGGGATAGAAGAGAAAGGATTTTGTACATGCAAACATTTAGGCATCCTTCAAATGTTATTACAACCAGGTACTTTTTCCTACTAATTAGAATAGCCTGGTGTACATCTGCCCAGGGAAAATCCTATCACTGGGACTTAAGAAAGATTAAGTGCTAATTTATATGAAGAGGTAAAAAATATTTAATAGAACCTTAAGTGGGAACTGTCTATACCAGTGTGGTATCATATTGCCTGTGCTACCTTGTTAATCTTTTCATGAATATGCTTTGTCTCAACTATATATTAAAAAAAAAAAAAAAAAACTCAGCAGCAAGATCTAGTAATATCCTACATCTCCGAAAACCATAGGCTAAGCACAGTATCCTGGCAATGGTAGACAGGCAATAAACATTTGTTGATAATGTTAGAAAATGGAAGTGACAAGATTAAATACACTCAGTGAAGGAATTGATGAAAGTTGGAAGTATCTAGTGAATATTGTAACTAGGGTATCTGGGTCATTAGAGTGATGAGAAAAGAAGGCAAATGTAAGAACAAATTAGGGGGCACCACGGTGGCTCAGTCGGTTAAGTGTCTGCCTTCAACTCTGGTCATGATCCCAGGGCCCTAGGAATGAGCCCCAAATCAGGCTTCCTGCTCAGTGGGAAGTCTACTTGTCCTTCTGTGTCCCCAATTTATGTGCATGTACTCTCTCTCAAATAAATAAAATCTTGAAAAAAAGAATAAATTAGAATATGAAAGAGAATATAATAGCATGAGTTGCTTCTTGGTTTTGGTATTTCATATTATTTCACATAAGGATTTTTAAAATGGGGTACAGTTTAATATGTGAGGGTTATACAAAAAACAGGGTGGTTTTTTTTTAATTTGTTTTTAGAGAGAGAGTGCTCGTATGCACGTACATGAGTAGGGGGAAGGGCAGGAAGAGAGAATTGGTCAAGCAGACTCCCTGCTCAGCTTGCCCTGGCTCAGTCTCAAGACCCATGAGATCATGACCTGAACTGAAACCAAGAGTCAGTGGCTTAACCAATTGGGCTACCCAGGAGCCCCACAAAACACAGTTCTAAATTTAGTTTGTTAACTCTCAGGTCTCCATTTTATTTGTGGCTTGTGAATGTAGGATGGCATTTCATTAGGGGGTTATCTTTGATCTTCTTAAACCTTCATTAGGCTTAGTTAAGCCTGGATATCTAACTGTTGAAATATTTCAGAAGGAAGCTGGGACCTTTAGAAGCAATTGTGTGTATGAGATTATGAGAGCATGGGAATAGTTGGGAGTTATTCTGAGTGCTCTTAAGCCAGTTACAGATACCTTTTGGATCACATATTAATTTATGGAGATGTGAAAAGAGAGTGGCAGCAGAAGAACCACATTAAAAATCAAAACTTAAAGAGAATTGATAGCTATAGCCCATTGTCTCAGTCTGTTGGCTTAGTCAGTTTACCTATTCATTTCTGAGAGAAGTTTGGGGATGTTTCTTATTAGTGAAAGGGAGAAGGGCATAGATACATGTGTTTTAAAGATCTCAAAACAAGATACTGCATATTTATAGTGGAAACTGGGTGAAACAGAGGAAACCAGAAGATAAATAAATCACTTAACATTTTGGCATATGTGCCTCCTTTTTTCTATCCCTAAGATACACTGATTAATTTTTTCAATTTTGAGCATATGTTTTATGATCTGCTTTTCACTTATTATCTGATTAATAAGTCCCCCTGTCATTAAATAGTCTACATAATTTTAAATGGCTGCATAGACTGTCTTCGGTCATTAAGATGTAGTGTGGTTTAACTCATCTCCTATTGTAGGGCATTTAGATTGTTATAAGTATTTTCTATTAATAGAGCATTGAATATCACTGTAGATAAATCTTTCCACATATTCCTATTTCCTTGGGATTGCTTGCTAGCAAGGGACTTGCTGGTCAAACAGTACACATTTTTAAAAAAAATAATCTCTGTGCCCAACATAAGGTTCCAATTTACAACTACAAGATCAAGAGTCACATCCTGTACTGACTGAGCCAGCCAGGAGCCCCAGTACCCATTTTTTTTTTTTAAGATTTCATTTATTTATTTGACAGAGAGATCACAAGTAGGCAGAGAGGCAGACAGAGGGAGAAGGAGAAGCAGGCTCCCCACTGAGCAGAGAGCCCAATGTGGGGCTCAATCCCAGGACCCTGAGATCATGACCTGAGCCGAAGGCAGAGGCCTAACGCATAACTCCACTGAGCTACCCAGGTGCCCCCGCCAGTACACATATTTTTAAAGGCTACTGATAGGTATAATTGAATTCTTCTCTCACAATACTACATTAAGATAATAAACACTTATATTAAGATTCTGAATGTGGTCAAATTCTTTGTCTTATAGCACTCAAACTTAACTCTGCAGTCAGTAGATAGAACCCAGTTGTGTAAAAGGGGAGAAAGAAGTTATTAGTAATTCAAAAAGTATATAGTGTCTTTGGGGGGTGGGCTTAAGAAGTACTATTGGCAAATTGTACCCATAATGCAAATTTTTATTTGTCAATTCTTATTAAAAAGAGATAGTACTCTATACTCCTTATAAGATACATCAAGTGTGTGATTTTATTGTAATGTTTACATCAAAATGAGACTATGTCGTTTCAGTGCTGAATTTTTTATATATTGAAATGTTTTTTTTCCCCCCTATTTTTAGCCACATAAAGAAAAGCATTAACATTTCTCAACAATTATATAGTCAACTGATGTAACAATGGTACTAATATTGGGACGAAGACTAAACAGAGAGGATCTCGGGGTTCGTGATTCCCCAGCAACTAAGCGTAAAGTTTTTGAAATGGACCCTAAATCTCTGACAGGCCATGAGTTTTTTGACTTCTCTTCAGGATCATCCCATGCTGAAAACATACTTCAGATATTCAATGAATTCCGAGACAGCCGCTTATTCACAGATGTCATCATTTGTGTGGAAGGCAAAGAATTTCCTTGCCATAGAGCTGTTCTCTCAGCCTGTAGTAGCTACTTCAGAGCTATGTTTTGTAATGACCACAGAGAAAGCAGAGAAATGTTGGTTGAGATCAATGGTATTTTAGCTGAAGCTATGGAATGTTTTTTGCAGTATGTTTATACTGGAAAGGTAAAGATCACTACAGAGAATGTACAATATCTCTTTGAAACGTCAAGCCTCTTTCAGATTAGTGTTCTCCGTGATGCTTGTGCCAAGTTCTTAGAGGAGCAACTTGATCCTTGTAACTGCTTAGGAATCCAGCGCTTTGCTGATACCCATTCTCTCAAAACACTCTTCACAAAATGCAAGAATTTTGCATTACAGACTTTTGAGGATGTGTCACAGCATGAAGAATTTCTTGAGCTTGACAAGGATGAACTTATTGATTATATTTGTAGTGATGAACTTGTTATTGGTAAAGAGGAAATGGTTTTTGAAGCCGTCATGCGTTGGGTCTATCGTGCTGTTGATCTGAGAAGACCACTGTTACATGAGCTCCTGACACATGTGAGACTCCCTCTGTTGCATCCAAACTACTTTGTCCAAACAGTTGAGGTGGACCAATTGATCCAGAATTCTCCTGAGTGTTATCAGCTATTGCATGAAGCAAGACGGTACCACATACTTGGGAATGAAATGATGTCTCCAAGGACTAGGCCACGCAGGTGAGAGAACTATTTATAAATGAACTACAACATAATTAACAAAAGTTTTTATTTTTTAAATATTTTTAAACCTCCTGAGTGAAATCTCAGTGTAGTCATTTATATGCATTGTCTACATATGGCTTTCCATAATTTAAGATTTGTTTTGGATTACATAAATCATTAAAATTTCTCTCCCCCTCAAAAAAAAAATTTTTTTTTTAATCTTTCTCAGTGAAGACTAGATTCAACACTATCGTTCTTTGTTATTCTGAGCTGTGAAAGGTTATTGCAGAGTGTCTTCACAACTGTGAACATCTCAGTATATTTCTGCTTATTTCTTTTAATCTTTGTAGGATCCCAAATAATTCCACTTTTCTTTCTAAAGGGTCTTTGGATATAAAGTAGACTAAAGACTGTGGTAGACTCGGACTCTCTGTACTGCTTCTGCATATAAAAAACAATTGGCAGGGGTGCCCAGTTGGCTTGATTTCAGCTCAGGTCATGATCTCAGAGTCATGAGATCACGGGCTGCCTTGGGCT